GGCACACGGCTGTTGTCCTGCAGTACACTTGTAGTCAGCTTGGGGATGGCAGACTAGCACACAGAAAGGAGAGAAAGAAGATGAGTTTATAACTAAGTGCTAAACTGTGGGCATAGGCTTTAAGCATAAAAGTTCACAGAAAGGAGATCTATACAGTCTGAAGCAATCTGAGAGCAAAAGGAAGGGTTTAAGATCAGCCTCAAGTTTCTGTTAGTTCTTGTATTTCTTGCTTTCCTGGTATAACTGATACTCCCTCTAGTTTATTTTACCAACAAGGGGAAAAGAAGAGCTAAAACTTGCTAAAAATGCTGCTTATACAATGCTTTAAGGTACACAAAACATGTTTTTAGATAAATGACTTGACTGCTTCTTCTGGGCAAAATTCTATGTATTTTAGTTACCTATTAAGATGGAGAGTATGGGCCTGGTGATGGATTGGATGCATGCTGGGCCAAGACCAATTAAGTCTGAGATAGTCAAGACTCAATTATTCATAAGGTAAAAGAATTTTTTTTTGGGTCATAGCAATTCTTATACACCTTCTGCTAAGTGATAGATAAGTTGAGATTTATGTTGTGGAAGAACTAACTATGGCAATGAAATCACAGGTCACTGAAGTATTCAAGTATCCAGATAGCTAAAATACTGAGCAAATATTTTTTTTGCCTCTTAAAATTTTTATTGATATTTTTGCTTGTACATAACCTTCTGCTTCCCTACCCATTAAACTATCTCTTTTAACAAAATCAGTGTAGTAAAAAATCATCCTTGGGATGCAGTGGACAGAGCACGGGCCCTGCCATCAACCTGAGTTCAAATCCAGCCTCAGACACACAACATGCACTAGCTGTGTGACTCTGGGCAAGTCACTTAACCCCATTGTCTAGCCAAAAATAAAATAAAATAAAATAAAAAATAAAACAAAAAAAACAACCTTATATGCAACATCATAAACCCATAGTTCATTACAATTTTTTTTTGGGGGCGGGTAAGATGGAAGGGAGATACAGTTTCTCAATTATTCTCTTGGGCCAATGTCAGTTATAGTCACAAACTATCCCATTTCATTCCATCTTGCTCTTTTTATTTACAATATTGTAGTCATTATGTTTATTGTCTCATCTCCAGCATTTTTGAAAGGTCTTTACTATACCCTGCCATCTCCTGAAGAAATCATCTAATATTTCTCTTCTTTTTCATGGATACATTCCTAGAAAAACTCTTTACATTCATTAACTTCATTTCTTCTTCTACTTCTAACTTCTCAAATCTTTGCAAACTGGCTTCTGATTCCATTGAAATTCTCTCCTCCAAATTTGCCTTTATTGTCTAATCTGATGACCTTTGATCAGTCCTGGGACTTCTGATGATTGATAGCATTTTATACTATTGATTATTCTTTGAGATTTTTGTCCATACTCTCTTCCTCTTCTCTCTAGGTTTCTGTGAAACTCCATTCTCTTGTTTCTTCCACCACATGAGAGCAAATATTTTGAAAAGTAGATATAACATATACATTTAAAGACACTGATACAGTACGAAGATAACTGAACTTGCAGTCAGAAGACCTCTATCAACTACAAGACATCTGACTACAGTTTCTTCATCTGCAAAGTGGGGACACTATCACTTGCCTTGCCTACTACTTCATAAAATTGTTTTGATGATCAAATGAGAAAATGTGTGAGGAAGTACCTTAATAACCATAAAGTGATGTGTAAATATAAATAAATCATTTTATTACATCATTTGAATATAATTCTAAATTAGTAGTATTTATAACAAAAGGCAAACACAAAGCAAAGCATCAAAACATATTAAACAAAAAAATTGATCTAGAATCCAAAATGGCCAAAATAAAAATATATGTAATCACTGACTTATAAATAAACTATGCTCCAGAAGTTCATTTTAAGTTGGTTGTGGGGTACTTGAGAATATCCCACAATACAATAAAACTTCAAAACTCATTTAATACATAATGTATATGGCAAGATAGTACTAATACCTTATACCACATTCCACAATACATTGTAAATGGATATGCGACCTCAACATTAAAGATTATCATACAATTAAAAGAGAAGCAGATATTATTAATTCTTTAATTGGATGTAATTGTTCCATACTTGATAACTCCAAACTAGATTTTGGATGCGATAAGTATAAAATGCCAAAGGCAATAAAATTAATGGGGTTTTCTCTGTGAAAAAATTTGGAAATACATTCAGCTGAATTGATGTTATCTGACTGGTAATAAGTTTTGTTTCATGTTTTAAATACATATATATATGTTCTTATTGGGTTTCTAAAATTTCTTCTCTTACATTGTGAAATCTGGGAAATCATTGTACCAAAAATAGTTAAATAACTTTCTAAAAAATCTGGATGTGGTTAGATTATGAATTGAGCTTTCAAAAGAATATGACTAAAAACAAATATTTGAAAACTATTAAATATTGAATGGGGCATATTTTGTTTTAAAACAGATAATAATAATAATTTTACTAAAATGAGTTTTTCTTTGAAAATGTTTGGCTATCACTTATAAAAATTGTGAAAATGCATAGGATGGATTAAAGATATAACTCCAATACATCAGTGATTCAGCTATCAGGTATTTGCTGTATGTCTGAAACCTCAGAATGTGGTTAGTTTTAATTTATAAGTAAAGGATAAATGAAATGTAATGGTTAGGGAAACATGAAAAATTAATAGTTTTCAAGCCCTAAGTTGTGGTTAGTGAAATTTTGCTATTTGAGGTAAAATTCTTGGGACTATAATTTACTATTGTTTTGAGTTTTGATTACAGGGATGGTTGTCTGAATTGATAGGAATCTAATAGTAGAAAATGGCATGTGCTGCAGTCTGAGAACTGTTAGAGGTGGATGTCTGACTGGTAAAAGTTGAGGGGATGACCTTGGCACGGCCTAAGGTAGGATCCACTTGACTCAGTTTCCCCATTGTGTTATTTCCTTTCTGAAGGAAATTTCCCCACCTGGATAATCCTGGGACTTGCTTTTGATCTGTAATGTGTCTTATATAATTCTGATTATGAATATATGAAAAACTTTATAAATTTGGTTTATAGATAACTGATCCAGTGGGCTGCTCACTCCTCCCATGGATCAAAAGGGGGAAATTGAGGGAACTGAGAGAATTAAGAAGTGATTAATTGTGAGAATTAAACACTGAACCACAAATGAATGAACCACACTGACTCCACCTTGTGACTCAAGTCTGGAGCCAGCTTAGTTCCCTTTCTATTCAATTATGGGTCTAGTCCAAATTCTGTCTTGTAAGAAAACTTTATTCAATTGTGGGAACTGGAAGAAAATCTTATTGTATTGTTTTAACCTAGCCCTGAATGCCTGGCAAACTTGAACAACTCCATCTACTGTGTAAAGTCCCTGAACTAAGTACCTATGTTATGCTGATCAGAAACCCAGCAAAATTCAAAGACTGATGCAAGGCATTTTCTCCCAACTTGGAAAGTCCTTATCTTTCCTCCGATTAGAAATCAGATTACCTAATGTTGTATCCTGGTTAATTGTTTCTTTTTAATTATTTGATCTTATTTGATTGCTTTTAATGTATAAATATCTATATTCCCTTGTATTCAGGGTCTAACCCCAAGGAAGGGGTCTGGTCCCAATTTGTTAGGCAATTGGCATGTACTACCTAATAAACTGAAACAGCTGGAAGATCAAACCTTTGTTTCTTTAGTCATTTCATCTTTCACTTGCCACATATATTTCTCAAAGCTATGGGTAGGAGATGTATTCTTAACTAAATAAGAGACAGAGGCAATCACTACCTGTCTGACCACTGCTTCTCAGTCTCCTTTGAAAGACCATCATCCATATCACATACCCTATTGGTATACTCAAAGGCTCTCTTAGCCTTCTTCTCTCTATACTGTCCCTTGGTGACCAAATCAACCCCCAAAGTGACCAAATTCAACTTCAAAGGTTGAATTATCATCTTTATACATATAACTCTCAGATTTACATATCCTGACCCCATATCTTTCCTGAGCTCCAGTACTGCATCAACAACTGCATAGTGGACATTTCAAATTCACCTTGTCCAAAATAAAATTAATTATCTTTCCTTGTATACCCACCCCTCTACCACATGTCTCTATTCCTGTAGAGGGTACCATGATTCTTCCAATTTCCTAGGTCTTGGTATTATCCTCAACCCACCACTATCATTTACCCCAAATGTTCTATCGGTTACAAATCTTGACATTACTATATTGACAATATTTCTTGAATCCATCCCCTTCTCACTACTGACATAGTTACCAGGTTAGTTCAAGTTTCCCTACTGGCATCCCTATCTGAAGTCTTTTCCTATTTCAATTCATCCTTCATATAGCTCCCAAAATGATTATCCTTAAACAGGTTGTATTCAAATTCCAATGGTTCCCTGTTCCCTTTCTCAAACTTCAGTGCCTCTAGAATAAAATATAAACTTGTCTGTCTGGGTTATAAAATTCTTTACAACCTGGCTCCAGCCTGTTTTTCTAACCTTAACTTTCTATAATTGTCCTTCTCTTTGATCCTCATATATAGTACTCGATCTCATCTTCTTCGTGTGCAGAATGTACTCTTTTTACTTGTGCCCACAGTATTGCTCATCTATTTCAAGACTCAGTTCAGCTTTTACATGAAGAACATCTTTGATGCCTCAACTGCTCTTATCCTCCCCTCTTAACTTCTTTGAGTTTAATTACCTTGAGTTTATCTTTTATTTATTCTATATAGACTTATATATACATGTTGTCTCCCCTGAAAAGATGTGAAATCCTTGAGTGAAAAGATGGTTCCATTTTCCCACCTCTGCATCCCCCAGGGCCTAGCTCAGTACTGGGAACGTTATAAATTCTTGTTGACTGACTGACGAACTAGATCTAATGAAATCCCAGAATCAGATTAGATAATAACCATTAAAATTAATATTAAAACGAGAAAGGAAATTCAAAGCATGCTTACCTGAGCAATAATTCGTTCTCCATTTTTATAGTTCTTTTCACCTATCACATCCACAATCTTCATTCTCTCTGAAATCTGTAATAGTCCAAAATCCACTGGTTATTGGACAATTCAACTGAAAAATACTGTAAGCCTCTATCAAACATACAAAAGCATTAAAATGCCACCATCAACAAGTGATTTAGGTACAAAGAACAACATAAAATTTCAGAGCTGAAAAATACATCAGAGATGAAATCCAGTCTGACCCTCTTCATTTTATATATAAGGAACCTAAGGAACAGAGAAGGAAAAGGACTTTCTTTTAGCTTAGTGCTATGGAACTTATTCACAATATTCATCCCATAGAAGTCACTGGCATAAGGGACAAGGGTTCTACTATCAAAAGAATTCTGTTATAAAGGTATTTTATCTTTATAACAGGGGGTCCCATGGCAAGGACCATGAGAAAAAGAATGTAACAGGACTCTAGTATATTACTATTTTTGTAGTCAATAATTCATTACTAATACATGAGGTCAATTTTTCAGATAAATTTAGCTTTCTGGGTTTCTCTGTATGTTTGTATTTGTATTTCAAAGTTACTCTTGGCTTTGGTATTTTGGTCAGAAGTCCTCTGTGCCATTAAAGGTGCATATTTCCCCCCAGATTTACAAGAATTATACTTAGGCTTTGCAGGGTGAGTTTTAAACCTCTATCTTTTGTCTTTGGAATATTGTAAGATTTCTCCTTTTTATTGGAAGCTGCATGGTCTCATGTGATCCTGACTACGGTTCTTTGGTAGTCTGTTTCTTTGTATACTCACAGTAATTTTTCTTTGATGTGGAAGCTCTGGATTTTTATCACACTTCTGGAACTTTCAAGAAGTTTATCAGTGGCTTCTATCTTTGCCTCCTGGTTCTAATAGATCTGGGAAGTTTCACCTATGATTTTGTGAATAGTTTCCAGCCTTTTTTTTTTAATCAAAAATTTGAGTTCCAAATTCTCTCCTTGCTTACTTCCTCTTCCTCCTCCATGAGAAGGCAGACAATTTGATATAGATTATACACATGCAGTCATGCAAAACATATTTCCATATTAGCCATGTTGTGAAAGAAAACACAGACCACCTCCCCACCAAAACCCCTAAGAAAAATAAATTTTTAAATTTTAAATTTTAATTTTTAAAAGTATGCTTCAATTTCCATTCAGACTCCATTAGTTCTTTCTCTAGAGATGGATAACATTTTTCATCATGAGTCCTTTGGAATTATCTTGGATCACTGTATTGCTGAAAACAGCTAAGTCATTCACAGTTTATCATCATGTAATAATTTTATATACTGTTACTATATATTATATATACATACATATATACACACACACACACACACACACACACACACACACACACACACACACACACACATACTGTTACTATACACAATGTTCTTCTGGTTCTGCTCACTTCACTCTGCTTCAGTTCATATAGACTGCTTGTCATTTCTTACAGCACAATTGTATTCCATTACAATCACATACCACAACTTGTTCAGCCATTCTCCAATTGATTGGTATCCCCTCAATTTCCAATTCTTTGCCACCACTAAAAGAGCTGCTATACATATTTTTGTACCTATAGGTCCTTTTCCTTTTCCTCTGATCTCTTTGGGATAGTGACCTGATAGTGGTATTGCTGGATCAAAGGGTATACATAGTTTTATAGCCCTTTGGGCATAGTTCCAAATAGCTCTCCAAAATGGTTGGATCAGTTCACAACTCTACCAATAGTACACTAGTGTACAAATTTTCCTACATCCCCTCCAACATTTGTCATTTTCCTTTCCTGTCATGTTAGCCACTCTGATAGGTGTGAGGTGGTAGCTCCGAGTTGTTTTGATTTGCATTTCTCTAATCAACAGTGATTTAGAGCATTTTTTCATATGACTATGTATAGTTTTGATATTTTTATCATTTCATCACTTCCTCTCCTCTCCCACAATTCTAAACTTTCAGTAAATTGACTTCAAGCTTCATTATTCAATTAAAACTGCTTCTCTGAAGTCATCAATGATCTCTTCATTGTGAAATCTAATGGCCATTTCTCAGTCCTTCTAGACCTCACCCTCTTGATCTTTTGGCAACCTTTGACACTGCTGGCTACTGACAGACCTCTTTTCTTGGCTATTCTTTCCTCTCTAGGTTTTCACAACACTTACTGTTTGTGCTGACTTTTCATTTACACTGTATCTTTTATGTACAGAGTTGCTTGCATGTCTTCTTCTCTAATAAAATGTAAGCCTTCTGAGGGCAGGGATAGTGTTTTTGCCTTTATTTGACTCCCTAGCTCTTACCACAGTGCTTGGCACACAGTAAGCATTTAATAAATGCTTGACCAATATTACATTTTGTTTCACCTTACATCTGTTCTCAGATACAAAAATATTTCCTCAGAGGCTTCTGCACATTCTCAGGAATTAAGACATATCCACATAACCTTTACCAAGAATTTTGGTAGGTGAATGCTTCCTCAAATTGGCGTTCTTTACGTCCCCTAAATGAAACAACCGTCTCTTTCTCAAAAACAGGCCTTACCTCTAGGGATTTCAGTAGAGGCACAGATTCAATAAACGATTCAAACATTTTCCTCTTCTTTGCATTGTTTTTCAATATGATTCTTCTGAATGTTATTCGATCCTACAAGAAAAATACAAAAATTCTAACTTTTATATGTAAATGTTAATGTCTACTGAGTTGCAAATAGTATTGAGTAAACTGAATGTTTATGAAAATGTCGCTTTAGTCATGGAGTGATCCCTGGCAGAAATACTGACAGAAAAAGCCAAAGTGTCTGGCATAGCTGAAAACCTGGAAAATCTGTCAACTTGTCTAGGGTATACTGTAGTTCCAGATACCCTCAATTACAATTTTGTGAATTACTAGAGTAAAATAAGTAAAAAATAAAATACAAACAGTAACAAAATTAGTCAGCCCAAAACTTCTTTATCTAATACTCTAACAGAACTGAAGGAACTTCAAAAGAAGAGCTACCAGTTTCCATATAGGAAAGAAGAAGTGACGTGGAGTAATATCCTAGACCCTAGGATATTAATGTTCACCTACAAAGAGTGATGTTAAGAGGCCAAGGGGGATACAAAGCTTCCTTGGAGGACTTAAAATTAAATTGGGAAACCAAAATATATACATGATACAAAAGCAACCTACTATAACTGCCAAACAAAGTGCTATGGGAATTTAGAGACAAAATCTTAATAGACTATGATGGTTAAGGAAGGTTTTGTGGAAGAAGTAGGACTTGAACTGGGTTTTGAAGAATAAATAAGATTCAGAGAGATAACAGGAAAGGCAAAGAACGAGCAAAGGCACAGAATCAGGAATGCTCAAGTCATGTTTTGGTGAGAATGGTCTGTCTTGGTCAAATATTGAAAATGGAGGCATGCCTCTACAGAGGCTATAGCCTGAGCCTTTTTTATATACAACCTGTATACAGAATAGCCATTAAAGGGTTAATGACAAGATTGGTTAATAAAAATTAAAAGTATGGGTTCTCAGGTGATTATTTGTTCTACATTTCCCTCCTCCTAAAGCTGTGGGGTAGAAAGACTTCTGGAAATTAGAACCATGACATCTTCTAAAACTGACATGAGCAATAAGGTCATGATAACCTGAGATTCAGCAGCCAGGTCAACCTTAGGCTTCTCCTAAATAGAATTCTGGAGAGAGAATTACACTATCTTTTCTGTTAGACAAGATGTTAATCTAGGTTATAAAACAGTGCTTTAATGTGTGCAAACCACTTTCCTCACAATAACTGCATAAAGTTGGCCAATTATTATTGCCCCGATTTTACAAATTAGGAAATTGAGGCTCTGAGATATTAAGTGACTTGTGTATAATGGCAGAGCTGGTATAGTGTACCTGAGGTAGTAAGTGAAGTCAGGTCTCCTGACACTAATTCTAGCACTCCATCCATTATGCCAAGCTCCCTTTCCTACTTACTTTTCAGTGTATCTATGAAATATTTACCCAAAATGATCGACATTTGAGGAGTTGCCTGCTTCTTGGGTTAATGGTAGCTAAGTATTGAGTACAAATTACAATAGAGGCTAAGGATTAAAGAATTTGCAATCCGTGCTTAATGTGAAAAGATGATTACAAAACACTTGAAAATCAGTCTTGTATATATTTGGGAAATATAATGAAAGATGGGGTCCTTCATAGAAAGATGAAGAATTTAAAATGATACATGAATAAAACAAAGTCAAAAGAATGAAAAAATAGAAGAAAATGTGAAATACTTTATCAGAAAAACAACTGACCTGAAAAACAGATCTAGGAGAGAGAATTTAAGAATTACAGGACTACCTCAAAATTATCATCAAAGTATGAGCCTAGACATCATATTTCAAGAAATTAGAGAACTGCCCCAATATCTAAAATCCAGAGAATAAAATAGAAATTGAAAGAACCCACTTGATCACCTTCTGAAAGAGATCCCCAAATGAAAATTCCAAGGAATACTATAGCCAAATTCCACGGTTCTCAGGTCAAAGAGAAAATACTTCAAGAAGCCAAAAAGAAATAATTCGAATATTGTGGAGCCACAGTCAGGATCGCACAAAACTTAGCAGCTTCCATGTTAAAGAAGCAGAGGGCTTGAAATATGACATTCCAGACAGCAAAGGGGCTAGGATTACAACCAAGAACCATCTACCCAGCGAAACTGAATATAATACTTCAGTGGAAAAAATAGACAATTAATGAAATACAGGATTTTTAAGCATCCCTGATGGAAAGACCAGAGCTAAACGGAAAATTTGACATTCAAATATAAGACTCAAGAGAAGCATAAAAAGGTAAACATGAAAGAGTAATCATAAGGGTCTCAATAAAATTAAACTGTTTACATTCTTATATAGGAAGATAATACACGCAACTTCTAAGAACTTCATCATCATTAGGGTAGTTAAAAGAAGTTTACATAGACAGAGGGTATGGGGGTGAGTTGATCATGTTGGAATGATCTCTCAAAAAATGAAAGGGTGATGCACTGGGAGAAGGGGGAAGGGAGAGGCAGAACAGGGAAAATTTTCTCACATAAAAGAAATGCACAAGGAAGAGCTTTTATAGTGGAGGAGATAATAGGGATGGGTGGGTGTTGGGCAATGCTTGAACCTCACTCTCATCAGAAATGGTTCAAAAAGGGAAGACTGGATACACAGTCAATTGTGTACAAAAATGTAACTTACCCAATAAGGAAACAGGAAGGGGAAAAGGATAAATGAAAGGGGGTAGGGGAAGAATAAAAGGATGACAGATTAAGGAAGGCAGAATAGACTTTTGAAGAAGGACAGGATAAAAAGACAGGGAGAAAGATAAACAGAAGAAAATGGGATGGAGGGAAATACACAGCTAGTAATCATAACTATGAATGTGAATTGCCTTCTCAGTGGGTAGGGAAGGGGTGGGAGGGAAGGAGAGAGAAAAAGAATATGGAATTCAAAACTTAAAAAGAAAAGAATGTTAAAAATAAAAAATAACTTGAAAAATTAAGTGGCACATGATTTTGTCACACTTTGCTTACGTATATTTTTCTTCCTGCCTCCAGTATATTTCTTATTCAAATCATAAAACATGCCACTACCAAATTAATCTTCCTGAAAACACTATCTTTATCACACCACTCCTCTGACAAAAAAGCCTTTATTATCATCTCCAATGCATACTGAATCAAGTCCAAACTTATAACGCCAAGCATTCAAATACTTCTATCATCTATCCTAAATTATTCTACCTTTGCATTAACTCTTTTGGCTCCAGCCAAAATAGTTTATCTACTGTGTTTTCTGAAAACTTACCTGAAAGTTTCCTTCATATGGCATGATCTCTCTCCTCTTACTATGCCTATCCAAACCCCATCTTTCAACAGCCAACTCAAATCTTAGCTCTTTCCTAAAGCTTTTCTCCCTAACCAGGTCAGTCAGAAATGGTCTTTCCCTCCTGCAACAATTTGTTTGCACAATTAATTTATCAATTAATCCTAAAGTTTCTTATGATAGAACTTTCTATTATTGTCTAAAACTGTAGCAATAGCTTAATAAATATAGTGACTAAATATCTTACCATATTATGTATAACATATACACAATATGTTACTATTGTTTAACTTTTCATGCGTTACTATTTTCTCTGCCAAACTATTTTATAATTATATTTTAACCGGCATTTGTCTTATACTTTTTTTGTGTCCTTCAGAGTATACTAGACGTAGATGTTTGAGGAATAGTTGTTGCTATTTCTTGAACACCGAGTCTACAACATAAAACAGTAAATGTTTAATAAATAGATGTTAATGACATACAGATCTTTTACCTAAACCTACTTTATAACAGTATCTCAAATACATAAGACTAAGTTACTTCATTAATTCATGTTTACAGATAAACTAAAGAACTCTGTGATTCGCAGCATCCTCAGTCCCCTTTTCTGCCATTCTGCCAGCATTACTGCAGAAGTAGTCATTATATCTTTTTCTTGGTTTTATTGGTTGCCCTGGGCAAAGAATTCATCTAATGGTACTCACAAAATGTTTAAAGGACTAGAGAAAGGACTCCAGTGACCTGGGCAGATCCTCTACAGAGGACTTAGGAGGTAAATAAGAACTGCACAGGATGAGAAAGTACTGATGAACTGCAATCTATAACACTAGAAAAACTACAAATATTGATGAGATCATGGATCCATTCAGGAAATAGTACATTATCAGTGATCAACTCAAGAAGTAATACTCAGCTTAATGAAGTATAATAGACATTTCCCAGTATTTCTCTCTATGTTATTTCTAGAAAATTTTTAATCCATCCTGTTAATTTTATATCTGCACATTAACACTTCCTATCAGATTGAAAAAATAATGGCATAAAATGATACCATACCTCAGATTTTCAAGACTTGTGGATTTAGAAAACAGAGGACTAAAATGCAACTCACTTTATACACAGAATAGAATTTCCATAAACAATAACATCTCCCAAACTCTAGTGACCTAAAAGCAATAGCAATAGCTTTAAGTGATTTAGCTATGACACCAGATAGTAGTAAGCATCAATCTAGAAAAAGGCTAGGCAGACTTAAACATTTAAAAACTTGATTTTATTTGACCATTTATGGGATTTTCACATGTCCCTTCTACCTTGTAGACCAAACTAATAATGAAGAACACACAGAAGATGGTATTTCATCTGCAAAAACATCAAGGATTTTTATTTAAATTAAAGGAAATCTAGCTGGTTACAGATCATGTGTCATAGTATCTTTTAACCTAAGTTAGAACATGCCAGAGTAGTAGAGAGTCTATAGAGAAAAGGAAGGAGTGGTACAGTTAAAAGTACCTCCAGAAACATGGTCAACAATCAGTAACAAAAAAATAAAAAACAACAAACTCAACAGAAGGGATTTTAATCCTAGCATCTTAAGTAAAATGCATAACTGGGGAGGTATCATATCCTGTGGGTATCAGTTTTTACTGCCATATAATTCTTACAGTCTACTTGTGTTGGGAAATGGATAGAATGAAGTGAAAGAATGTTTGTTCATGGTGAGGTATGCTGGGATCCTTGAAAATGTATGAGTTATCAGTAATCTCCCTAGAAGCTTATTGGATTAATGTTATTATCCTCTCTCTTCTTGTTCAACAAAAACATGAATAGGAAAAAAAGGTGTATACTTCAGTAAACTAACAAAGTGAGGACAGGTAAATGCTTATTATGGTTTATAGCCAAACCACTTTGGGGAAGTAGGAGAACGTATCTGCCCAAAAATATGATGCCCTCATGCCCAGGGGAACAGACGACCAACAACAATAAATGGTGACAGGAAAGAGGACAAAGACAGAGAACAGGAGGTACAGGAAACTATAGGATAAGACAGGTAAATGAAAGCATTTCCCTCTACTTACCAGACCCCACAATGAACCTTCTGTTGTGGCAACTATGGTAGCAGCTCTGGGAGTGTTGTACATCAAGGCGAGTTCTCCAAAACTGCCACGATTATCATATTGGCCAACACGTTTACTTTGACTATCTTTAGTTACCAGAATGTCATATGAGCCTCTGGAAGAACAAAGATGCCACACAGCTTATAAGATGAAATTATTTTCAATAAAAACCTATTTATGAATTTTTTGTACAATGTATAGCTGGTATATACTCTACATCCTGATTAGCAGATTTTAAAAATTACTTTAGCTGAACTAGGAACTATTCATCTCTTTCTATACTTTACACTATCCCCTGCCACTTTCTCTAGAGGACGACCCCTATCAGCAGCCCTTCTCTCTTTATCATCATCCATTTCTTTCTGTCTACTGGCTCCTTGACTGCTGCCTACAAGCATGCCCAAGTCTCTCTTAGCCTAAAAACAAAACTTAACAAGAACCCTCACAAAAACCCCCCTTCCCTGTCAACTATCATCCTATACTTTACCTTACCTTTTTAACTAAACAAATGCAATAAGACCAACATAGACACTGATGACAACCAGAAAAAAATGATGTCAAAGGAAATAAAAAGGAGATACAGAAGCAAAATTTTATTATTTATTATTCTGTTCAAGATCAATATGCACATAACTTGGAGCTTATGATTATATTTATGATCACTTATTTACTTAAAAGCTTTTTTTGGTTGATTGCTACTAAGTTTGGCATAATAAAATAATGAAATAAGTACTTCTAGTACTTCAAGGAACTCTAATTTCATTAATGTGGTAATTATATTTATTGATGCAGAGTACAACCTTTCTACAATCTAGTAGGTAATCTTTGAGATTGCCTATGGCCAAAAAAAAATTATATTCTTGTGGCTAATATGATAATAAGCCTCCCTGAATTTACTGAGGCTGGTCCACAGATAACAGACACATAGCCACACTGTTGCCAGGCTCATAGCTTAAAGTTTTATTTGCTAACTGTAACCTTGGGCAAGTCACAAAACCTTTGAGTCTAAGTTCCTCATTTCCAAAATGAACGGTCTAGACAAGATGGCCTAATATCTCTTCTAGCTTTAAAACTATGATCCTTTCCTTCTTGGTAGGACCTAATGAGATTGTTTTTCTGGAATAACCTTTGAGAGCCCAGAGTCACTTTCCTAATCCCACGAGGAACTGGATAGAGTTTCAAAAAAAAATAAAACAGGAATTCCTATTTGAAATTTCCATACTTTGATCTAACTAAACTCTGAAAGCATTTTACAGTAAGTATTTAACACTGGATTTCCATAAGAAATAAAGAATAGAAAGATCAGAAGAATTATATAAACTGATACCGAGTGAAATAAGATGAACTAGGAGAATAATATATACAGGGACTATACTAATATAAATACAAAAGAACTGAAATTAAACCAAACAGGGTAGAAAAGTAAGGAGTGGAAAATAAAACTGGATGCATAGGAGTAGGTGACACAGATTATAAATGACCTAAAACAAGGATTTAGGGGTGGGAGGGAATACACATTCCTAACGTTAGACATCTATGTCCCATTTGAAGTATATGATGATGACAACAACCTTCCATGTTCCCTACCATAAAGGTGCCATTGTTAGTGTTGTCAGGGACCAAATATCAAGTTAAACAAACTATGGGTCTAAAAGCCAGGACACAGTAGGAAACCAATGCAGGTTCTAAAATGGAAGAGAGAGATTCAATGGGGACTCTAGAAACTATAAACCTTTACCTTGCAAATCAAACTACTTGAATTTATAATGAAAGGCATCAATCACCAATGAAAACTTATTTAAGTATAACCTTCTAAAGAAAGGAGATATGGTTTTTGTAAGGAAAATTGTTTTTACTAATTCACTAAAGATTTCAAAGGGAATAAATTATACATGTAGATAAAGGGAAATCAGGCAAGTAAGCCATTTAGGCTTTCAAAGAGACTTGGACAATGATATGCACTAGATGTGTTTTGTTTTTTTTTAAATTAAGTAACCTTGGGGCAGCTAGGTGGCGCAGTGGATAAAGCACCGGCCCTGAGGTCAGGAGTACCTGAGTTCAAATCTGACCTCAGACCAAACACTTGACACTTATTAGCTGTGTGACCCTGGGCAAGTCACTTAACCCCAAGTGCCAAAAAAAAAAAGCAACCTCAGGATTGTTTTAATATAAACAGAGAACTCGTTTAGAGACAGGAATAAAAAGAGAAAGAATAATCAGACACCTCTCTGGATAAAGTAGAAATAGTGGGACTCAGAACAACATCTGGTTCCTGTGTCTACTGATGTGCTCAACGTCATTCTTTAATTTCCCATGTTTAGAAGTGTGGGTTCAGCATGCCAGGCCCCTACTGTGTTTATATGTATATATGTATAACTGTAACTGTTTGCTTGGGCAATTTTTTATAATACATTATTTGATAATATTTTACCATTCTCTCAATATTCTGGAGGCTACCACCAAACTTATTATAAGCCTCAGTGGTTTATTTTTGAACATATTCATTAATTTCATGTTTGACTTTGTTTTCCAAAAATTATAAATAATTTTGGTTTGGGAGATTTTTGCTAGACTTGAAAATCCTTTCTTGAGTCTCTTCCAAATGACTACATGTTTATCAATGGAGGAAATACGCCTTTGTCATGCAAAGTACTCATGGTTTATTTTTCTAGCACAAAGACCCAAGTTACACAAGGATTACTTACACAAGGTATTTACTTACAAATACCCATGACTTATTTACAAAATGATAATTTGAAATTTAATTTCTTTAAATGTTAACTATCATTATCATCTAAAGGGATATAACATCTTTATAACATATTTATTGAGTGTTCAGGCTTGTGGTAGGTGCAGAGAATACAAGGATTAGGAATAGTGACCAGACTTGTGATTTCATTGATAAGAAAAACTAGCGGGGCAGCTAGGTGGTGCAGTGGATATAGCACCAGCCCTGAAGTCAGGAGGACCTGAGTTCAAATCTGGCCTCAGACCAAACACTTGACACTTACTAGCTGTGTGACCATGGGCAAGTCACTGAACCCCAAGTGCCTTAAAAAAAAAAGATAAAAGGAATTCTACCAATGTAGGTCAGTCCCTTCTCTGCAACTGATAGTCTGAGGGAGTTACCTAGGGCATTGTGAGGTTAAGTCACTTGCCCAAGGTCACACAGCCAGTATGTATCAGACATTGGTCTTGAACTTGAGTTGCCCAGGCTTCGAGACTAGATCTCTATTCCCATAGTCTTATTGAAACAAAACTATTCCTGTAAAAGGATTAGAGAATGATATGGTTAAGTTCTCAGCTCTATGGGGAAAACTAAGGAAAAAGACAATGTGAGATGGAGCAGTCAGGGAGTTCTTATAGAGGACGTATTAGAAAAAAAACAATTTGTCAGTTCTTAACTAAAAACTTTCTAGCACCCATTACTGTTTGGGAAAAATTACATAGTTAAAGAATGGGGAAAACTATCTTAGAACATTAAGAGATTATAATTAAATTAAAACATTCAAATTGAAATGTACCTGAACAGAATAAAAAATCTCCTCTATCTGCCAGTTAATTACCGTTAACTGTTTGTGATGAATAACTCTATTTCCTAATTAGGTATGAGATAATTATATTCCTATCTACTGTAGCCAAGTTATTTTAAGGACATAATAGGATCCAAAATGTTTCAGCCTTAGGGGGAGCTGAAGGCTTACAAATGTGACTGAATGGAAATACCTAAGGATAAGAGGAAGTGGGAATGACAAGAGGAAGTGGGAAGATCTTGATTTTTAAAAAGGCTTGAAACGAAAAGTGATGAACTGAATTAAAAGCAAGAGCTATAGCTACAGGGAATAATCAGAGGATAGATACTATCTCTGAAACATTAGTCGTGTTATGGTAGGCAAATCATTAAATCTCTCTGAAACTCAATTTGTTTCTCTGTAAAAATGGGAAAAATAATATATTCCTTGTTTCACAGGGTTACAAGGAAGACTGAGAGAGTGTATATAAAATGTTTTGCAAAGCCAAAAGAACTATACAAATGTGAATTATTATCTCATTACTATCTCATCTCTTTCAACACAGTTCATAAAGAAATGATCCTGGGACAAGTTGCTATCTAGCTCTAAGTCTTTATATTTCATTGATTCTTTTTTTTTTGGCCGTTCTATGGACTATTACAAATAAAAATAAAAACTCTTTGAAGGTGAATAAAAGTATGTGGATATACATTCAACTTCTGTAGGATGGCTGAAAATATCCTTAGTAGAAATCTTGTAGCAAACATGGCAACAGGGATGCTGTACATACCTTATCTTCTTTTCCTCACATGACTTTGACTTCCCCTGCTCAAGATCTTTATTTTGAAAGCTTTTTGTTCCATGTACCTTAGAAATTGTTAGTATTTGATATGGTGACATTTATTTAAGATGTTAAGTTTTTGTGACTCAATGTTATGGCTATGTCAATGTTGGGGAAATCTGATCTGTGATAACGGTTCAGTTCCAATCAAATTTACTGGTTGAGTTCTATAAGATACTTTGAGGTCTGCATATGTAGTACTATATTTGTCATCTGTTAGACCATGGAAGATAAGAGAGCTTCTGACATATAATTTTAGACATCAGGTCATTTCTTGTTATTTGGCATGTGCTATATTTTACAACTTATAAGTAATATGTTGTTCAGGTTCTGCCATTCCTTATATACATTGATATATGACTGATCATTAAATTCAGGCTCCTTAAGGTTATCCCTTCTAAAACTTTTAGTGGCAAAAGCCCTATTCTGAATTGCTATCATCAACTACTCAATTTTTAAAACAAATTCCTAGAAAATTCAGTCATTTGTGAGGTGCTTCTTTGTCAACATATAGTCAGCTGAGTGTATGTGGATTTTGTCCATAGAAGGCAAATAAAAGTCAGTTCTTAGATCTCAGTCATTTTATTATTGTGTTAACTAGAAACAGTCCAAGGATGAGTCATCATCTCACTAATATTCACATAGATATACATATTCATATATATATACACACACATATGTGCATATAAGTGCATGGATACATATATATGTATACGAATAAATTTTCTATGGACCGTTCCCCAGGTGGATAAAATGATTCAT